CATTCTGTGTGCTTTGTTAGAGTACTCTTTTGACTGAAACTCTTGTTTCAACTAACAAGCTGCTGGTAATTAAAATGACCAGCATTTTACTTTCACTCTGCATAGGATTATCAGATATATTTCAGTCTGATCCAGATCATTGCAGTACTCCCACAGACTATCCTCTTAGTTTCACTCAATTTTTTTTATTGACAGTTGATTTTGCTACCAGTTAAGCTGTTTGAGTATGTAACAGCACATGATACAGTACTGCCTTTTCCTTGGGCTACTGAACAACACAATGTAAATTTCTGCGTTTTGAGCATTGCGTGTCAGAATGGAACCTAGCGTGTCCCATGCTGTATTGAAGCAACAGAGTCCATTGGGATGTCCTTACTCACTCCTTAATGACTGATTCTGTGCAGACCATAAAGGTTGGAGTGAATTTGTGGTTCGTGTTGCCTCTTTCAAGAAAACTGGACATAAAGTCCTCTACAGATCTTGTTGCAAAGGCTGAGTATGCTGATGCGGATCTGCTAAATTTTGGGTCAGTAACAGGTTGGTGGACCTCTGGGCAGCCAGGGTGCTTATTACTGCTTGGATGGGTCATGTCCAGTATCGTAGTTTGGGTCATTTTCATCTTTGCTATTTGTGAGAGCAAAGCTGAGTATCCTGAAGCAGATGGTAATTCACGTGTTCTATCAGTAGGAAGTTTGTCTCTTCCAGTCAAGAAAGTGATAACGAGCTGATACATGTGTGAACTTCTGAAACTTCTGCAGCTATTCTTCCAAAAGAACAACTGGTAGAATCACTGAAACATTGAACTGTGGAGGCAGTCTCTTTTATTTGCTTCTAGCCTTAAGGGGTTGTTCTGAAGTCCAAGACATCTCATTTAAAAACAGAAAAATGTTTTGGATGTGTAACACAGTATACTCCCATACCAAATAGCTAATATGTTTCTCCAACTTTTGAAGTTTGCTTAATCAAAAACTAGATGTCTTTCTGTGTTTCTTGACAAATTTACTGATTTTCTGAGCAGTGACTTTTGTCAAGCAGAGAGATTGGGCTTCACTGCTGTAAAAGTGGCAGGTTCTTCGTCACCCCAGGTATCAGGTTGGCATATGCTAAAAAAAGTAACTAAGTTTTTTTTTGTGTTTTTTTTTTTTTTAACTGTGTCCAACTACTACTGTTTATAGCTGGTTTCAGCCTCCCCAGCCCCTGATCTCAGCTTTTCAAGAATTTAAAAATATCTGTTTAAAGACTATAAAATATATTTGTTTATTTTTTTATGGTTTACTTATCTGTTGGGTTAGGTGATTCAATGCCCCTGTATTCAAACTGGCGGTTGAAGGTGATGGAGCACAATCGAGGAGAGCCTCTACCTTTTCCACCTAGTGGAGGTTGCTGGTCACCGTTGGTGGATTATTTGCCTGAAACATCTCCTCCCGGCATGTCTCTTCACAGGTAACTGTTGTAACAATGCTGATGGCAATTCATTATGTTTTCATTTATATTGCACAAATGGGGTAATTTAACAATAGGAGATTAATGACAATAGATTTAAAGATTGTAGATAAAGATAGATCTATTTTCTGCAGTTTTACTCACAGGTTAAGCAGTTAAGATTTTTAAACCATATAATTTGAAGGATTAAGGTTTTTCTGTCTTCATTGTGAGCATTCATCTTTTCCCTTAATAGAACTTTGTGGATGTTATAGACTTACAGAACAATGGTTAGTAGCATATTAAGCTGGTTGCAGCTTTTCATAAAGTTCCTACATTATGTTCTGCTAACAAATTGGGTTTTGTTTTTTTTTTTAGATGCAACATAGCAGTGATCCTTTTAACTGACTTGATAGTTGACCACAGTGTAAAGGTGGAATGGGGAGGATACTTGCATCTTTTACTTCATGCAATTTTTATAGGTAACTAAATTCTTAAAGAAATATTTCTAACTTAGGAATTGTAGCTATTTATGTAACTGTTCTTTTCCACATTTAAATTATTATTTGCCATTGTATTGAAATCTCATTAATTTGTTAATATTTACAATATTTTAAAAAATTCAACAAAATACTTTTCAGCTTGATTAATATGAATATAATAAGTTTTTGGTTTGGAGGCACGTTCTGTTGGAGCCACTTTTACCTCTTTCTCCTTGTAGAAGACAATAAAATTCGAATTTTTTCTTTTTGTTTCTCTGTAGTAATTTTCATACAGAGCACATCTTAAGGTGTGTTACATGAGAAACAGAAGGGTATGTTAATGTTTGTTAAACTATATGCTTTTGGTTTTATATTGAAACACTGAAAACCCATAGCTTATTTGTTGAATTATGTATCTATTATTTGGTAAAATATAACAGATTAGTTTGGATATTGCTATTTTTTTTAATAACTTAATCCAGTGTGCACTTCGAATTTAATGGAACTTTTCCATTTTCCTTTTATGTTAGGTTTTGATCACTGTCACCCTGAAGTCTATGAGCATTGTAAACGACTGCTTTTGCATCTGCTGATAGTGATGGGATCTGGCAGTAATGTCCAGTCTGTTGCTTCTGTCCTACTCAGAAACAGAGAGTTCAATGAGTCCAGGGTGCTTACTGTCAAACAAACTACCCATTTAGATTATATTTTCACAGGTATGCTTTAGATTTATTAACATGGAAAGTTACCTTTTCTTCCAGGCATTGTTAAAATTTCTGTTATTTATAATACTTCCCTGAGCCCTTGGCATTAAAATGTATTTTGTTTCAGCTTTGTCTAGCTGATTAAAATGTATTTTAATTAAGTCAAAATGAAAATGGTTCACGTTACCACTTTGTGCCCAGTCATCACTCACACTTGAGAGCATAGTTGAATGTTTAAATAATAGTGGAAACCAAAGAGGGAGCTCTGTGTTTTCTATCTGTAATATGGCAGGTTTTATGATGCACTTGAAAATAAAACCCAAGAAGATACATATCTCACTTGGTTATAGCAACTTTAAATTTCTGACTTTTGTTAGTTGTAATTGCATTGTTCGATAAGCTACCAGAATATTCTTTTGTGATACTACCTTCTAATGTTCACCTTAACATTACAATTTTGTAGTTATACAGAAAATTATATGTTTTATATGTATATCTTTATGAAAGTAATACTTTGATGTGAGCCTGTTGTCATTTTTAAAGAAATGTTAAATAGTTAATTTTGTTGAAACCTCGTATTTCATATTATTTCAGTAGGTGGCAGCATATTTCTATACAATCGATTTGTTCCATTTTGTTCGTATCAGAAGAGGTTTTGTCACTAACTGAACAAGTTCATCTGTTCTCTGAATTTTGTATTCACAGCAATGAGGAATTAAAAAGTGGGCGTAGTGGAGGAATTCTTTTACTCTCTTTTCTGCAAGTTTACTTTCTCCCAGCACCTCAGAGGGAGATAGGGACATAATGTGAGGTGTTACCGCAGTTGTATTTTGTTGCCACATAATTCTTTACATGGAGAGAAAATCTTACGGCAGCAAGATTGACTTAACTTCAGAGAAACTTGTAATGTGAGGTGTTACCGCAGTTGTATTTTATTGCCACGTAATTCTTTACATGGAGAGAAAATCTTACAGCAGCAAGATTGACTTAACTTCAGAGAAACTTTGTGCAGCCAGCGGAGCTCTGCTTAGAATTGGTTCACCACTGAATACGCAGTGTTCACTGATTAAAAGTGCTGCCAGTTATGCTGGGACTGAGTTTAAAAAAAAAATAAAAAATATCTGCACATTATTAGGAAGTAGTTTATACCATTTGTCTCAAGTTATTAAGATGCCTCAAAGACTGATGTTGTTATTTCACCATATTATCAATACAAAATCAAACATAATACAGTGGTTTTAAAGAGGGGTCTAGCAGTTCCTTATTAAGGGTCCAGTCATGCAAAGACTTTGCATATATCAGACTTGTTGATTTCATTGAAATTATTGCATCCATTAAATTATTCTCATAATGTTTGCTAAATTACTGATTTTTTTAGAGGGCTGTTTTTTATTTTTATAAATTTAATATTAAAAGTCAACAGCTCATAATAATCTTCGTTTTTATTTCAGCAGGTGTTCATGATTTTATACCTGATTACCAGCCTTCCCCAATGACAGACTCAGGGCTTAGTTCAAGTTCTACCTCTTCTAGCATCAGTTTAGGAAATACAAGTGCTGCCATTTCTCATCTACACGCCACAATCCTCAATGAGGTTGACATTTCAGTAGAGCAGGATGAAAAAGTGAAAACTCTCATAGAATTTATTACCTCAAGGTAAGATTTCAAGTTTTGTTTTTGTCAAGACTTGTATTTCATGGAAATACAGCAAAACTCTTACTATTTAGCATCACGTTGTCTAACTATGTCTCTGTTTTATCACCAGTAAGAGATAGCTTAATCCTGAAGTGTTTTTATGTGAAATAGCCTATGAGCAACTCTTAACTTGCCACAAGTCAGAGAATTTTGGCACCCCTTTTGTGTCCAGAGTGTTTAAAAGCCTTTTACCATGTTCTACACAGGTCTGTTATCTTTGCTTGCCACATGGTTTATTAGAGTTCACTCTTCATTCTAAAGGGATCCCATACTAAAGGATTAGGGCTGGAATATGTAAGTTGACTAAAGGAGCTGCAAGATTTGTGTGGAGTTTATGGATTGCCTAAGAGTAGAGAGCTGGCTATTCAGAAAATATGAATTAACGGTAAAGAACATCTGTAAAACAAGTAACACTTGTTACACAACACTTGTGCAGTTGATATGATAGTTTGTATGAAGCTTTCAAGATAAGGTAAATCTGAAATCCCACTTGTTTCTTGAAGGTTTTGATTAATTATGCCAACAAAAAAGCCCCTTTAGATCCACCTAAATTAAGAATGGTGGGGTATATTGCTGTGAAGAAAATGGGAAGAGAGGAGGTTGTTTTAAGAAGTGTGTAATAGTGTTAGTTGTAGTAGTTCTTTGTTAGATAACTAAATAGTATCTAACAGAGTACATCTTTTCCTAACTTTATGCTGTTATTTCAGTTGGATCTGATATATTGCTTTTCACCTTGTTTTAATTTGTATATTATTGTACAATATTGGGCAGTTGTCAAACTTCTTTCCAATTTGTGTCTGCAGTTCTAAATGGTTTCTTTTATGCGGTGGGTAGTAGATTCTTTTGCAGTTGACCTGAGGTTAAAATAACATTTAAATAATATTAATGACAAAGGCTATGTTTTATATTCTGTTTACTCTGTTTTTATATGTTTAGGAAAAGAGGGCCACTTTGGAATCATGAAGATGTTTCGGCCAAGAATCCTAATATAAAGAGTGCTGAACAGTTAACTGTGTTTTTAAAGCATGTGGTATCTATATTTAAACAGTCTAGCTCAGGTATGTTAGAAAACAGTCGATGCATGAAAGAATGTTCGGGTCTGCAAACTAAACAGATTTTTTTGAATTAAGTTTACAGATGATCTATAAAATCATTATGTGATCACTTGCTGCTTCTAAATAATAGATTTTTCTTGTGCATTGCACACTTCAGTTTGTTTCTATTACAACAGATTTTAATATCATCTTTTAGGAATGAGATAAAATATCTTATTAATTTATTGTGGGCATTTACTGTTCAAATCATAAATGTTTTATTCTATACAAGTCTCTGCAGTGTTAAGTATTGTGGAATACAAGTTCATATGCCTGGAAAAATTTTTGAGTAATAGTCCTTGAGAAAAATGTAGAAGATTATAATATTTTAAAGTTAGGAATTGCTTTCGTAACTTACTCTCTAATAAATTCAAGTGTTTGGGTTTTTTATAAAGCATTGTGTTGCTTGAGTATTTATTTGCTTTTGTAGGAGGATTTCAGTTGGAACACCGTCTCAGTGAAGTTGCTTTGCAAACTGCGCTTTCGTGCTCCTCTCGACATTACGCTGGGAGGTCCTTTCAGATTTTCAGGGCTCTGAAGCAGCCTCTTACTGCATCTACACTTTCTGATGTTCTCTCCAGACTAGTGGAAACTGTTGGAGATGCAGGAGAAGAAGCTCAGGTATTTGAAATTTTCCCCCTTTATTTTATTGGAAACCTAAGTTTGCCTAAATTACATACTCACATTATTATTTTAATGACAGTAAAATTTTAAAAACATTTTTGATTCAGTTGCTTTTTATTTTTAAATAAAGATATTTCAAATATCAAACCACTTGTAATCATGACACTTCCTGAATTTTCACCTAATGAAATGATGAAAATATGAGCTGTGCACATTCTCATCTACAGCAATAGGAACTTTCAGAGAGTTTGAAACAGCTGTTTCCTGAAAATACCTTCTCTTCATAGTTAGAGAATCCTGAGATCAACCATATAAAAAATAATTTAGGTTTTCTTTTATTAAGAACTTAACCCTGTAAAGCATTAACAACCATCAAACTTAGTGTCATTGCACATCTAAAAAAGTGGATGTAATCTTTTCATATTGCACAATGAGTCTAAATTACCCTATCCTTAAGTCCATCCTTAAAAATAATGCAAACCAGAATGAATGTTTTTAATATTTGGAAATAAAATTTTTTCATGTATTTAATCTTTACTGCTAATTTCAGCTGTTTTATCAGATTTGTGTTCTAATTGAAGCATGAAATAATAAGTTAGTTAGTGATACTGATTTTATTTTTTTTCATATCACTACTTAGTAGATTTTCTGTGGTCTTCCTTGTGCACATTGCATAATTTATAATGACCTGTGGCTTTCCCCAGGGTTTTGTCATAGAACTGCTTTTGACCTTAGAGTCTGCTATTGATACATTGGCTGAAACCATGAAGCATTATGATCTGCTTTCTGCCCTTTCTCAGTAAGTTATTTTATTACTCAAGCAACATTAAACGTTTTTATACATTTGAATTTTAAAGATTTGTATTACAAACATAATGAAATAATTTCTTGTTGTCTTTGCAGAATAGTTGTATACTAATAGCAAAATTGCTTGCTCTCTTATGTTTTTATCATTCTGACTCAAGCAAAACTCATAAGAATTTAGATTTTCTGAAAATAAATCTCTTTCCAAACCTCTTGGGTCCAATTTAAAAAAAACAAACAAGCAACGACAAAAAAAACAAAACCCAAACCAAACAAAAAAAACCCCAAAAACAGTGTTCAAGGTGTTCCTTATGGCTGAATTCTGAAATGTTATCAGTTCTTCTGAAACTTCTCGAAAGTAAAGACACTGAGTACATGCATAACTTTTTTTTTTTTGGTCAGGCCCTACTGACCTTGATTAATAGTGTAATTTTTTGTGTGCCTTATTTTTTCCCCATATGTCTAATGAAAGTGGTACCAAGCTTTAAAAGACAATTTAAGATAATTTAAGGTTTACAGCTGAAAATTCCTGTATTGCAATAAATATGTTTATTCCAATGTTGATACAGAAGATATTTCTTCAGATACAGCAAATATTAGTCTGTCTTAGGCCTCAGATTTGTTGTCCGTATACGAGAGAAGTGTAATTGAACAGTCTGAGTCATTTGTGTGTCTCATTAAAGTCTGAGGGGTTAGCTCAGTGACTTTTTATCAGACTGAAAAAAAAACCCAAAAAGCCCTAAGTGTACAGACATGTTTGTTTATTTGACTTCATGTCAAAGTTTTTGAAAATGTTGAGATTTTTAGGAACATCTTCAATTTCTCAATATCCAAACTGGAAGGTCTTGGTTTTTCTAGGTCAGAAAGTCAAGAAAAATGTAAGGTAATAAGTAAATAATTTATTAATTCATTCATTTCTTTACCTTTATCACATCTGTAAGTAAGTTGGAATGCTAGATCTTAATTTACAGATAATATTTTACATGATATAGACTAATTTTCCTGGTTTTACTGAGTTGTGATGTAATTATTTTGCTATTCTGGGATTGTAACAAATAGATTTGGTAGCAGAGATAAAGGGATCCTACAGTCTTGTCCTTAGACTGTAAGAATATTTTAGTTATATATATATATATATATAAATCCTGTATCTTCATATATTATAATAGTGTTCCGATGATGGAGTATTTACTGTGTGTGAATATATGTGATTAGTGTCAAATCTTTTTCCTTCCTTCCCTTTTTCTAAACTGTAATTAAAGTATTTTGCATGGAATAATCAGTAATATTGATTTTTATTTTAGAACCTCATACCATGATTCTGTAATGGGAAACAAGTATGCAGCTAATAGGAAAAGCACTGGACAGATAAACCTAAGCACAAGTCCCGTTAATAGTGGCAGTTGTTTGGGATACTACAGCAATACAAGGAGTAATTCTTTGAGACTGAATTTAATCAGTGAGCGGAGAGGTGACCGTCGACGGAGCAACACACTGGATATAATGGATGGAAGGATAAATCATGGTGGAAGTTTGGCAAGGACTAGAAGCCTTTCCTCCCTGAGAGAGGGAGGGATGTATGATGTGCAGCCCACTACTGACCCTGTCAACTTGATGGCCACCATATTTTGGATTGCAGCTTCGTTGCTAGAGTCAGATTATGAGTATGAATACCTTTTGGCTCTCAAGCTACTGAACAAACTTCTTATTCACTTGCCTCTGGATAAATCAGAGAGTCGGGAAAAGATAGAAAAGGTGCAGAATAAATTGAAATGGAATAACTTCCCAGGCCTTCAGCAGCTTTTCCTAAAAGGCTTTACTTCAGCATCTACACAAGAAATGACAGTTCATCTCCTCAGTAAGCTCATCACAATTTCCAGGCATGCTTTGGTGGATCCTTCGCAGTTAGCAGGTATCTTTAATAACTGTATGTGTAATTTAAATGTATTTTTTCATCAGGTAAAGTGTAATCAAAATCAGTAGTGATTATGCATTTGCCTTTAAAAACCACCTTTTAGTTAAATGCTTTTTGCAGTTGTTATTACAGTGCTAGATAGTGGGAAATACATTAGACTATGATTATCTGCCAAGAAGTACTGCACAAAAACTTTATGTATTGACTATTAACTTACTTTAAACTTGCTTGCAAGTTTTAAGACCACATATATTCTAAATAGATTAGTACTGCTTCAAACATTTGCACATTTTTGAAACAATGTGACTGTACTGCCTAAAGCTATTCAGTTTCATGATAGTTTTGCTTAATCTAGTGGTTATTTTATTGTAATCTTACGCATATTTATACCTATACAGACACATTTATATACCCATATGTACACTAGGTTCGTATGTGTGTCATGCTCTAAGGATTATTGAATACCAGAAAGCTGTTATATGCTCACATAATTCCACATTAAGTTATATTAAAATCACTAGGACTCATATAACTGTTTATATCTGTATTTAGGATTTCCCCTGAACATTTTGTGCCTACTTCCTCATCTGATCCAACATTTTGATAACCCAACTCCGTTCTGTAAAGAAACAGCTGACAGGATAGCAAAGGTATGTAAAATGATGTGTAAAAACACATTTTGCTTATTCTAAAAACTTTAGATGTAAAGAACAAGTTTACCTATTGGTTATATCTTATTCTTACTTGCCTGATTTTGCATCTTCTAATTTTTTTAAGCACACTTCCTAATTTACTTATAAGGAAGTTATCCTTACTTTTCAGACTGGTAGATAGAGAAGAAAAGGTACCAAGTTCTTTCTATTACTTGTACACAGTGATGAACCTTGGATTAATTCTGAACTGTAGTGCCTGTTAAAGCAGTACATAGCACACAACAACAGTCTCCAGCCAGGCTGGTGGTACACTGCCCTGACAGCCTGCATTTTAAAGAAGAACATGTAAAGGGGAATAAGAAAGTGCTGTCTGTCATAGGAGATGCAGTCATAGCCCTCTGGCTTCCCAAACTGTGATACATAAATCACTTAACTGTGTGCAGGCCACCTGAAAGGAGTATGTGCCTGATGCAAACCCAAAAATTACCCTTAAATACGTGCACTACTAGCTAAGGGCACTAGTTAAAGTAAGTTTGGTGTGAGTAGCAGGTAAACTTGGAGCATGGATGCCACAGTGGCACTATTGCAGATACTACTGCCTTCCCAAATACAAGTCCTCGTAGCTCTGATAAGTGCCAGGCTAGTAGACAAGGGCTGGTCTGGGCTTAAAAGAAAAGTGACAGGTCAAGGCTTATGAATGCTTACTGAGTGCAGTTGCCCATTCAGGAACGTGGAGCTAAATTTTGGCTATTTATACCTGGTGCATTCATTTATTTATTTGAAAAGCAGTTTAAGTCTCTTAGCTAATTCTCTCTACTAGTTTTTTAGTGAATTGTCAGGCTCCAGAATTCAGCAGAAACTGTAGATGTATGTACTTGTATGATTAGTTTGGTTTCAGTTATTGGAAAATAGAATTGAAATCTAGGAAAAGTACATAAAGACTTGTGAATGCTTAGGTTAAAAATTTGGCATTTCTAATGTAATTAAATAGGCTTTTTGTTTTTCAGGTTTGTGCAGAGGAGAAATCACCAACTCTTGCCAATCTGGCTCATATGATGAGTTTATACAGTACACACAGTTATTCCAGAGACGTTTCTAACTGGATTAACGTAGTGTGTAGATACTTGCATGACTCTTTCTCAGATGCCACATTTAACCTCGTAACTTACCTTGCAGAGGTAATTTTTATTAAAAGTGTATGTCATGTTAACAATTACTCATTGTCAATTTTTCATGATTCTGAATATTGGGGAGCAGAAAGTACATTTTCCATAATGGGAGAATAATAGTAAATTGTTCTAGGATATAGAAAAGGAATGACTACTGCCATTTTGGAGTGCAAGAGTTTCAATGTGCCTTGAAATAATAATCCCTCTAATAAAAAAAACCTTTTTATGACAGTAGCGTTTTGTAATAGATGTTTATATTCTGTTCTACATGAATAAAATACACATACTTTCTTGGCTTTAGTGCAAATTTTAAGAGACCTTTTTTAGCCAAATATGCATTTAAAGATGTCCTTATCACAACCTAAAAACTAATTTCAAAGTTTAGTTTGTAAGTATTGCACAATATATAATCAAAGATAGTTTAAATTATGGAATTCAGTGCATGATTCTGCCAGCCATTCATACAGGAAAACTGTTATTACCTTTGAAAAATTACCTTGTGTGAAAAGCTGGTAGAGCTTGTTCTTTGAAGTATATGGCTTCAAATTGATGAAGATATTTTAAAAAATAATATTACATTTTCATGAATGATTTTATATGTACTTATTTTGTTTGTAAGCTTGTGTATGCTACCTTCTCTAAGGCATAGATGTAATTGTTTTTCATGCAGCTTTGAGATTTTGAATTTGTATGATTACTTTTATTTAGTGAAAAGTGTTTTATTAATAGTTGCTTTAGATCTGTGCTAACATATCAAAATTCAGGGAAAAAAGTGAATTGGGACACAGAACATTATTCTATTGCATTACATTTTTTTTAATGCTAAAATAAAATTTTGAAACTAATGAAGTGGTACACTTAAGTTTCTTGAAGGGAAAAATAAATATGTATGGAACCTAACTATATTTTAATGTTTGGTTTCACTTTTTGCTGCCATTAAAGGCCCAAATTAATTTCTGTATTTTCTAAAACTTTTTTTTTAGCTGTTAGAAAAAGGGTTATCCAGTATGCAGCAGTCCTTACTGCAGATTATTTACAGTCTTCTGAGTCATATTGACCTATCCACAGCACCAGTGAAGCAGTTTAATTTGGAAATCATAAAAGTTATTGGTAAATATGTTCAGGTAGGTACTCTGAAAAACTATAAAAGCCTTTCTACTTATTATCAAAGTGGTAGTGAAATGACACTTGAATTCTTTTTGAGAATTCATGTATTTCAGGTATAAAAAGAGTTGTTCAAAGTCACATCTCACAGTATTTTATTTTTTTGTACTTAATTCATTGAATGCTTATGTATTTGTTTAATTTGACTTATATCTTGTGGGACGAGTTACCTGGATGAATATACAACTATTTACAGATGTAGGTAACTGCGTATGTAGTTAAAGCAGATGATCCTTGACCTATTAAAATATAAGGAAATGTTTACTGCTAAATATTGTGAAAATGTTTATTTAAGTGTGTATGGTCTCAAAAGGAAGTTTTACAGTCAAATGCATTTTTAAATCACTTTCACTAATATATCTATGGAGAACGTTAAGGTGTACCTTAATGAATTCAAGTGCATTTTTTATTAAAGAAAGTCCCTGAAAGATAAACAATAGTGTTTTGCCCTAGGCAATTTGATCCTTTGTACTTGGAACACAATTTACTGAAAATCTGTTTGGCAAAAGAAGGTCTAGCATCTCACTCAAAGATTTTATGAAAATGCCTGGAGCATAAAACCATCTCAGTGCACAACATTCTCTTCCCACCCCCC